TCTGGGGTGGGGTGGGTACAGTGAGGATGTGTAAGCCTTTATGGGCATTTCATTTGGGGTTTTGAATGGCTGCTCTTGTTCTAAGGGCTGGACCCAAGGAACTGGGACCACAGGTACCAGGCTGTGCATGCCCAGGGACTGCCCTGGCATCGTCCCATCTTCTTGGCTCTGGTCCCTGGGATTCCTCATACCCTGGGAAGCCAGGCCACACTCTTTCTCTGCTTAAGCATGAAGGGAGGCACAGAGATGTGAATTGGCTGCAACATGCAGACTAGAAATCTGGCCTAAGGGAGAACTTCCTGACAGAGAAAGTTTGAAGCTCTTAAGACTCAAAGATGGTCTTAGAATGCTTTTTTCTGAAGCCTTCTCATGAGACCTTTGTCTGCTAGCTGCTGGTATCCCACTCCACTCCACACCTGTGATTCATGGATCCCAGGTTCTGGGGAACAGGACTTGGACAGGTCAGAGTTCAGCCCCTCCTCCACTTTCACAATAATAAAAAAAATAATTAGTATTACCACAGCAGCTGGCAGCCTGTGTTCCAGGCACTGTCTAAATGTTCTTCATGTATTAACTCATTTCATCTTTGCACAATCCTCTGGGGACATTATTAGCCCCATTCTTCAGTTGAAGAAACTAAGCAGCAAAGGCAAATTGCCCCAGACCACACCCAACAGGGTTGGAATAGGAACCCCCGTTCCTAAGCTCTCTACAGACCTGCCTGTCTTTGAATGCCCTCCACCTGGGTCTCAGCAGCATTTCCCAGGAGCCCTTTCTGTGCCCAGGTCTGTGCAGTCAAACAAGAGAACAGAACTTAACATGAAAAAATCAAGTCTACAGCGATTTTATGATCATCTGAGTTGCTGCAAGGCATCTACATGTGTGATGAATAAAATCAAGGGTCTTTTTTTCCAAATTCTAAATGTGGGCAGCTTGTGACAAAGGCTTCAGCATTGAACCAGCACAATTTACAAGAAAGCCAGGGGCGTGAGCTTTCCACTAAGCTCCTAGCGAAGGCCATCGCTGCTCAGCCAGGCCAGTGACCTTGGGCCTGAAGACCCCAGAAGGCCTTTGTGGAGAGCTTTGAACCAGAGCAGGGGCAGGAGCAAAGTGGAGAGGAACCCCATCATCTTCCAAACCAAGTGGCCCCAAATATATAGCCGCCTCCTTCTGCAGGAGAACCCCTGGGGAACCGCAGTACCAGGGTCTCAGGCTGGCACACAGCTCTCTGATCTCGCCATCTCCGACCAACAGGGAAGAAAGCAGACAGGCAGAAGACAGAGCCTACATAACTGCAGAACCTGGGTGGCTCACCCACAGCCCGTTGCTGGTGCTCCGACCGCCAGTGCCCCTGGCTGCTGGCCCGGTCAGGTGTCTGCCTGAGTCCTAAAGAGACACCTGAGCCTGACAGAGAGAAGTCAGTTGGGTTAATGCTTCCGTCCTCAGGACACAACTGTCACCTTTTCAAGTGCAAACAGACTCGAGGAGAAGAGGAAAGTGCATCTGTGGTGACTCACGCAGCAGACAAAGCATGAACCGCATTGCACGCTGCGGTGTGTGTGAGAGACGAGGAGGGCAACTGGCCAGTATAATGGAGCAGGCTTCCCGGCAGAGGGCTCGACAACCTACTTGACAAGTGGAACTTCCACCCTGTCCTGGGAGCAAGGCGCAGGAGGCCGGCCGCGGTGAGCTCACCTTGTTTGAACAATCCCGAAGTTTCCCCAGCTCAGAAATCACAGCTGGGCCGGTCCCCAGCTGGGTGAGTGGGGGCCAGAGGGTGTTTGCGGTGGGCGGAGGCCCTGTCCTTTCTCCGGTGGAGAAAGCCATTTATGACCTCACAGGATGAAAGGAACCAACCCAGGCCCGCTGAGCTGTTATTATAACAATTATCAGACCTATCACCTCCCTCTGGGAAATGTTCCCTTTCAAGTTGCGGTGCCCTCGTGTACGCTGGCTCACAGCCGCTGACAATCATTACCGGTGCCCAGGGCAACTTATTAATAATGCTTTCTTCCTTCTTTCTGACGTGGATGGACGTGATCTGTTTAAAGGGCCAGGGCTTTGCCAGGGGCTCATTAAAGCCACTGCAAGCTGCTGGGGAGCCAGCGTGTGTGCTCTCATTGTTACGTCCCAGGATAGTCTCCCCGCCACCCCCTCTTGCCCAGGTGACTAAACATGCCAGTGTCTCATCTCAGGAAGTGAACGTGGCTTTGATGCTGCTCAGGCTGCTGCTCATGAGCATTGGGATGAGGAAGGAGAAGAACCCAGGTTTGTTTTCCCAACTCTCCCCCCGCCACACACACACACTGGATGCCTCACCCCTACCACACCCCAGTGCAGAAGCCTCCAAAGATTTGGGGTTGGGGCTCCAGGGCATGCACGGGCCCTAGTCCCTTCTAGAAGTTGACTCAAGACCAAGGTCTCCTATCAGGATCTCTTTTTTCTGGATCCAGGCTCTTGGGAGAAGGAGGCCTTCACCCCACCACCCAGCACCCCCGTAACTGTCCCCGCTGCCATGGACCAGCAACAGAAAAACAGTGACGCTGGCTTCTCGAGGTAATAATGTCAAACCTGCAGCCTCCTCCCTTCCAACAGGCGAGTGGCGGAGACAAAGCAGGACCCAGCGTTCCCAGTGAGAGGCGCCAGAGGACGGGCGACTCCTGTGGAATTGCTCAGGAGGCTGTGCGCTTCTCTTAAAAGCGTTTTGGAAAGGGGACACTTCTTAGGAATGCCCTTTGTAAAAGCCAAATTGGATTGCGCTCTTAGGATTCCGTCGTTAAGCCTCACACAAGCACCGAGATGGGGATGAACATCACTCCCATTTTAAAGATGAGAAAAGCAAGCCCCAGAGAGTCATGTGATCACATACGCGGCTAGAAAGTGGGGGAGCTGCACTCTAAGGCAGCAGGTCCCCGGCCGGCCGCTTCCTGCGCCTCGGCACTGTGCCTGCCTTCAAGCTCTTCATGTCCAAAGAACACTTGCAAGGACGACGTTCCCATCTCAGCTCCCTTCCCCCAGGGAAGCTGACTCTGGACTGAGTCTCCCTCATGTCCGCAAGCGCTCTGTGCAGCCCGCAGGTTCCCAGTCCACTGGACGTGAGCTCTGGAGGGCGAGCAGGGCCAGCTTCTTCTCCTGCAGAGGCTGCTCCTGTCTCGGGTCTAGCGGTGGAGGTTCCGTGTGGGTCCAGGACGGGGCTAAGGGCCAGAGGAGGAAGGGGAGGGAAACAGCAGAGACAGTACTATGAGGCATGGGGAGGAAGAGGTGGGGAGGGGGGTAGTGCGCAGAGCAGGGGTGGGAGGTATTCACAGCCAGGTAGACAGCTATGGGAATAGGAAGGCTGGAAGGAGGAGGAGGAGGAAGAGAGGGAAGAAAAGGCAGAGGCAAGGGAAAAGACAGTGGCTGCGGAGGGCCATAGGATCCCAGGAAGGGACAGTGCTCTGCCAGGGGCAGGGGTGGGCCTGGTACTCTGTGTCCTGCAGCTGCCAGGGTGTCCTTAGGAACAGCACCCACGCAGGAGTGCCCCTGAGTGTGGCATGGGCAAAGCAAGTCAGACGGGGGGTGAGGAAAGGAGAGGTGGGGAGACAGCTCTCACAGGAAGCCAGGGCACAGGAGAAGGAAGCAAGGGCGCAGAAGGGACCAGTAGGGCAGGCCCGCAGGCTGGGGGCAGACTCCCTCTCTGGCTGGCCCAGTGGCTCCAGTGGCCCCTCGCGCCACCTTTGTGAACCCTGCCTCCAGGCTCAGGCTTCTCCGTGGCCAGCCTGGAGGCGCTGGCAGACACAGCTCCCCCTGCCTTCACAGCCCAGGAGGAAGGGAGGGGGCTTCCAGTGCCAAGAAACCCGAGGGCAAAGCCCTCGGTGGCAGTGCCTCCCCTAGTCCCACCAGCCTCACTTCCCATCTCAGATTCTTCTACCCATTCTACAGATGAGGAGACCGAGGTTCCAAGAGTTATGTCTTCCTGCCTGTCAGTGGCCAAGTGCTTAGAACAGGGCCTGGGCAGACAACCAGGACCCAGTCAATGTCACGTCTCTGTCTTCCTTGGAACCCTCCTAGGGTGTGCCATCTCTACATTTCCCTGGCTCTGGCCCTGGCCCAGCCATAGCTCTTGCTCCAGGGGGATTGGCACCCAGGAAAACCCATCTGGGCACCAGCCAGAGAGGTAGAAGGACGGATGGTAGACTCCTGCTGCCCTACACATATTCTGCCTGTGGGGTCTCAGGCTTCAGGGATGCCAGGTAATATAGGCCATAGGGGAGAAAGGAGGGTAGACACTTTTTTGCACTGGCCCCAAAAGGCACACATCACAAGACTCTTTGGGACTCGGGTTCCTCCTGGGGCCAGGCCAGGACCTAGAAAATCACAGGGGAAAATCACGAAGCAGTGGAGGAAGGCTGGGGTCCTGGAGACCCACCCTCATCAAGGAACAAGGTGGTCCAGTCCCAGTCCTCCCTGATGGAGACAGGCGAAGGTGGCATGTGGACCCCAGCAAGCCAGGAGTAGGATGAGCCTGGCTCAGGGCCCTGTTTATCTGTCTCGTGGGAAGGAAGGCGTGATGTGTTGGAAATGGCACGGGCTGAGGGTGCAGACCCTCTTCCTGGCCATGTGAACTTGGGTAAGTTACCTAACTTCTCCAAGTCTCCGTATCATGCTCTGTAAAATGGAGATGCTGATACATTCCTGGAGGGGTTAAAGAGGGAACCACAATGCCAGCACCTGGCAGCTGCGAGTACTTGAGAAAGTCTGGTTCCTTCCCTTCCCTGAAGGGGGACCCTGGGAGCCTCCCTTTTCCCAGTTAATGGTGGGCGTGTCAATCAATGATGCCCTGGAGAGCCTGTATTGAGGGCTGTCCCACATGAAAATGCATGGTTAGGCAACCAGGCACCCAGTCTTAGGCGGGCTGTAATGCTGGTGGCCTCAGCCATGGACAGAAAGCCTGTGGTGCTGTCCAGGCATAAGGACCAGGACCATCCAGGACATCAGAAGCAGCAAAGTGTGGGCTGCAGGCAAAGGACAATGAGGCCTGTCTTGTTTCCCACTGCCCCACAGCGCCTAGCAAAGCGCCAGGGCTAAGGAGGTCAGCCCAGAGAGAGCCCCGAGCTGGGTGGATGAGGCTGAGTTTGAGCACAGGCCTCCCTTGCAAAGCACATTGTGAAATGCCAACATAATTATGAAAATGCAAACACAAGAACGTTTGCTTATGGGAACTAATAGTTTTTAATGAAGGTAATCAGCCTCGTTAAATCAAATTATTAGCTTTGACAATAGATGTGTAAACAGGAAATTAATGAATTTGTTGGTTGCTCCTGCCTGCTAAGAAGACATTACAGTAGTCACCGTCTAGCCTGGATACACACATCTGGACTCCTCTCTCCTGCTTGAGCAATGCTCCCTGTACACACACACACACACACACACACACACACACACACACAAATGTCTCTCTCCCATCAGCTCAGAGCATCCTGAGAGGCCTCGTTCTTCTCCCTCCTTTGTTTCTTAGGCCTTTGTTAGTATTCTGATCCAATGTACCTGGTTGCTGCCCAGGAGACAGTCCTTGGGGAATACAGGATTGAGGGGACAGATGCAGGAAGAGGAAGAAGACATCGGGCTCTGTGTCCCAGCACACTGGCATACATGATCTCATTTAATGTCACAGGACTCTTCATACTATTATCCCATTTTACAGGTTAGGAAACTGAGGCATGGTGAAATGGTGGGTTGGTGGTGGTGGTTCACACAGCTGGTGTTAGAGGATAAGCCAGGCTGGGCAACAGGTTCTGTTGATGACATTGTCCCTCATCTTCTCTTACCATAGGAGGGACGTGGGGCCAGGAAGAGGCCCTCTCCAGCTGGAAGGAGCAGAGAGAAAATCTCAAATCAGCAGGTGGGAACTCATTGATACAGGAGAGGGTATTGAGAGGCCATTCCAGAATAGGGGAGCCCAGACTCCAGGGCTCACTGGTGGGGTTCTCTGTGAGCCAGAAGATGGAAATGGGGCCTCCCAGCTGGAGACACCCTGGCAGCAATGATATCCCCAAAGCTTCTACTTAGGAACATGTCAGAGGAGAAATCGTGGGACTAGTTCAAGTGGAGGTACAGAGAGGACGCCTTCACACACACACACACACACACACACACACACACACACACCAGTGTCAGCCAGGCAGGAGTCTCGCACAGCGCTGGGGGTAGGGGTGCTGGACCTATGGTTCTATGAATAATGCCGTGAGCTCAGGCAGGCACTGAGCTGGGGGCCAGGTGGGGGCTGAGGCAAACAACAGGCAGACACTCCCAAGAGACAGCTCACCCAAAGCACTGTGCGAGATACCATCAGGCAGTTACACCGCAAACAAGCCGCTCGTTGGGGCAACAGCGGAAGACGCTGCCATCTCTCACCTGAGGCTGGCAGATGGGAACATTAGTCAGACAGATGGAGGGAGGGCGAGTGCTGAAACCACCTGAGGCCCTGGCCAGGTTCTCCCTGTAAACAGGCCAGTCTGCCAGACCGGCTTGTTCCTTCTCTGGAGCTGGGGAGAGACATAGGCTGAGGCCCCAGGCCCTGCCTTGGGCAGATGGAGCAGACACAACCCCCGCCGTCTGACCCTAGGCGAGTGGCAAAGACAACCCCCACCATGCAGCAGCCTTGTGAAACCTGGTCTTATTTGGGGATCCACATTTCCCACACTCTCACTCTTAGAGCCTGCAATTAATTAGAAGCAAAATATTCTCCATTAGGATGCCCCAGATTGACAGCCATTGCTAAGAGACCAAAAGCTAAGAGGTGAGCTTGAGGTGGGGGATGATAGGATAGAAGGGTATACAGGGGTTTCTAGCCCACTGCCCACCGCCCACTGCCCCAAGGAAAGGAGAGTGGAGGTACTGCGTCCATGGTCTTGCTGCTCCAGTGGATGGAGGTGACCTGGGCTCTCTGTGTCCACATCTCCTCAATGGAGTCTCCATGAGGAAGAGAGTCTGTCTCCAGAGAACTAGGCTGTGACCTCAGGGTGCCTAGCCAGGTGTGGTGGAGTGATTTGGTAACTCCAGAATCCCTTCCCAGAAGGAACAGGTCTCTTCTCAAGTTGCACCTTGTGATTTAGAACCAGGAAACTGAAGAGAGCCTGCCATTGGACCCAGGCCTAGAACAGGGGTTGCCATTAGGGCAGAAGAGTCAGACCCAAGGAAAGAAGGAGGAGGCTTCATTTCTAGCCCCTGGCCCCAACCATAGACAGTTCCACCCTTTCCAGAACTCTCTTCACATAGTGTACATTCCTCTAGTTGCACAGCATGTAGTCATTAAACATGCGCCTCCTCGCACTAGACAATGAGCTGCTTAAATGCGGGGACAGTGTGCCTGACTCAGAATGGGTGCCCAGCATTTGCTGTGGTGATGGATAAATGACTAGACAAATAAGCACGTGGATGGATGGGGTGGTGGTGGTGGTGGTAGTGGTGGTGGTGTGGATAGATGGATGGATGGACAGTTGGATGGTTGACATATGAATGGTTAGATGAAGACTGCTCCCACATCCACCAGCACCTCTAGTGGCCATTGTATGTTTGCCTTGTTCTTGGTTGGAATTGTACCCGCCCTACATTCTAGTTCCACGCAACTGATTTCAATCTCCACACATGTGTCCTCACTCTACAAATTTCCCTTCTCAGAAGTGAGTTAGAGGCCAAGGCCTTTTCTCCCCACCCTTCTAGAGAACTTCCACAGCCCTGTTGGCACATGGATGAGGAAGGAGAAGGGGCAGGGTCAGAACTGGTTAAAAATGAACAGGCTTCTGAGGAAAAATGAAGCAGAGCCCCACTGTCCCCATTCAATTCCCACCTGGTCCCCAGACAGGAAGCGAAGGAAGGTAACCCAAGGGAGGGGTAGTTCTGGTACTCCCACCCCCAACACCTCCAACCATGAGGCGGAACCCCCAGTAATGGGTGGAATCATGAACTAGAGCCATCTTTACCTTGTAACTAACCCACTTACATAGCATTCACCATGTGCCTGGCACCAGTCCAAGTGCTTTACATACATTAACTCATTTAAACTCCTGTGAGTTAAGAATTCTTATTATCTTTATTTTAGAAATGAAGAAACTAAGACACAAAGAGGTTACATAACTTGTTCAAAGTGAATAGCTAATAAGTGGTAGAGCCACAAGTTGGGCTCAGAAATCCTGATCCTGAGTCTTTGCTCTTAACCACTAGGTCATCCTGCCAAACGCAGCTCTGCCCAGAATTCAAACTCCAACCCAACCCTAATGTCACCCTCCTCAATATAACCCTAACTCCATCCCCAACTCTTTGTACCTTGACCCCACCAGTAATAGAATCCTATACGGAGAAATTCCATTGCCCCAAAATATAAGGGGTAAAGAAACAAAGTAAATGATAACAGAAGGGGACAAAGAGACGAAATCCAGAATGTGGGACATTTCATGGGCAACTCACCTGGTTTCTGCAACAAATCAACAGCATGAAAATAATTAAAAGGAAAAGGAGAGATGCTTTAGATTCGGAAACTTAAGAATTATAATGAAAAATGTGAACTGTGGCTCTTTTTTGGATCCTATCCAGTTTGAATAACCATAAAAAGATATTTTTGAGACAGTTGAGGTAGTTTGATAATGGGCTGAGTGTTAGATGACACCAAGGAATTAGTGTTAATTTCCTTAAGTATGATAATGGCACTGGGTCGTATAAGAAAATGTTCATTATATTGAAGTGCAGTCAATTTTTTTGAAAGTTACGTTATATAAAGTCACCAAAACACTGAATTATCTGAACCACTGTTCCCAGGGGAAATACAAGGTTAGGTTCCTATGAGCTACTGGTCTCATTTTCATCAATTGACCAATACATAACCTTGTTTTTATGTGTTACTGTTTAAAGACACCTTCAGCAACAACACACACACACAAATGTGGCACTAAGTAGACCTTGTACAGGGTGCTTGTTATGGTATGAGAGCTGAAACAAAAAGGCAGAACCAAGAGAGCAGATCTTAGATGTTTTCCCACAAAAATAAATGATAACTATGTGACATGATAAAGTTGTTAGCTAACATCACAGTGGTAATCATTTTGCAATCTATAAATGTATCACCGACACCTGGTACACCTTAAACTTACACAATGGGATATGTCAATTATACCTCAATAAAGCTGGGACAAAACAAAAAGGCAGAACATTGGCTGGCTTGACCTCAGCTGAGAACCTGCATATCGGGTGACTCAAATTTTTCACCGCTCTGTGCGTGTCCATGAATGTCCACAAAAGCTCCACAAGTGTTGATTTTGGCATTATTGATTTATTTCAGCAGCAGGAGAACTGGCAAACACAAAATCTGTGAATAATGAGGATCGATGTTTTAAGAATGAAATGGTATAATGTCTAAGATTTTCTTTACATTATTTGGGGGGTCGGCAGCAGGGAGGATGAGGAGAGGATAGCTGAAGCAAACGTGGGGAAATATTGGTAACTGTTGACTGGAAGATGCGGTTTGGGATATGGGGTTTATTCTTCCAGGTGCTCCAAGAAACAGACACCATGATGGGATTGAAGGTTTTATTGTATTAGAGGACATGGCTAACACAAAGGAATTAGGGAAGGAGCCAGAAAGGCTGGGAGAGTGTCATTCTAAATGCAAGTAAAGGAGGGAAGAAGGTAGGGTATGGGCAGTGCATCTGAGACTGCAGTGCTGTCTTGGAGTCTAAGGACAGTGTGCCCACGTACTGTGGTCCCTCAGGGAAAGTCACCAGCCAGGCCTGCCTTAGCATCGCTGCCAGGCTTGCAGGGGCCCTAGCCTGGGAGGTACTGCCTGAGCACCATCAGAGCTCAGCAGCTGGGCCCCAGGTCCCTCAGGTTCCCAGAAGTAGAAGGGCTGCAAAGCATGCTCTCTTGGCCACCACATTAACAGTCTATTAAACTGTTCTCTCTACTCTTGTGTGTGTTTGAATTTTTTTCTCAATGAAAATCAAAAGAAAAGTAAGAATGAAGTGAGTGGAACGTTCCAGGGAGGAAGAAAGTACAATGAGTTCCCTTATGCAGTAGTGTTTGGAGTAAACCCAGCAAGCGACCCTCTTCATTGTAATACTGCCTGTTTGTATCATAGTGATGTACGCTTTCCAAATCACTTCCATTCCTCCCCATTGAACCCTCACACCTACTTCGAGAGACGGCAAAGGCAGGTACTTGGGTGTCATTGTACCCACTGGGCAGGTGAGTAAATCTCTCTGAGTACCCAAACCTCGCTTCGGTTAAGACAGTTGCCCAGAGTCACCCAGCTGAGTGGGAGCTGTAGGAGAAGGAACGTCCAGTGACCTTCCCCGGCCCTTCCGTGGCCCACCCTCCGGGCGTTAAGATGCAGGCTAGGAGCTGAGTCCCTCTGTGCCCACATGGAGCTGCTCACACTGCTGCGCCCAATCTCCCTGAACACCCAATTAAGCATCTTATAAATGCTTGATTTATAGAGATGATGCATAGGATTCAAAGGTCAGCCCAGGGAGAGGATTAAAGCTCTGTCGGAAGCCAAGGTCAAGGGTTAGCTCAAGGCTAGACCAGGGTCACTCTGAGGTCAGCTGTAAGGGACTGGCCTGTGATTGGAGGTTACACTCCCTCAGCACAGTGCTGGCTGCTGTCGGGTCACCCCCTACCCGGCCTGGCCCACAGCCTTCTAACTCTAGACCTGTGGATAGGAGGGCTGACCGCACCCACAGCAGAGATGCTCCGCGTTTGTCTCTCAGGCCCATTTGCATATGGCACACCTCAGGCTCACCCGGGACAGTTTCTCAGAACATGTCGCAAGCCACCTGCCTGCGTTTAAGCCCATTGACAGCAAGAACAGCTTTGGGACAAGATCTGGCCCTTCCCCCGCCCGTTGCTACAGACTTAATTACAGAGCCCAGCCACAGCAAGTGGCCACCTCCCGCCCCCACGTGGGCACCGGAGGTGGCAGGTTTGTACTCCACTAGGAAGGTATCGGGGAGAGAGATCAAGGGGCCTTTCCCAATAACATGATCAGCCTCAGTAGAAACTGTGACCACGGCGGTGACGTTTTCTCAGGCTGCCTCCATCCCTGTCTGTGTTCCCTTCCGCATCTCGGCCATATTGTCCCCATCCGCCATACCGCCTCTCCCTTCATTTACCCTGAAGGGAAGGTCCACATGCCCTGCTACCCTGGGAATGGAGCCTGAGGAGGCAGAGCTTAAGCCCAGGAGAGAACAATCTGCTGGTGCGATCGCTGGTCCTGGGGCCAGCAAATGTGGAGACAGTTATTGGCCACAGGGCCTCCCTGGTGTCCAGTAGAAGCAAGGCCCCACCAAACTATTGCAGGAGCAATGTCTTTTTCTTCTTTGGTGGTTTGGCCCCTAGCCAAGTCTCCTGAGTGCCCCACTGCCCCACCCCCACAACCCCCGGAGCTGAGAGACGGCAGGTGCTTAGGGCAGTGCTGACTGGGTGGGCAGGATTGTGCTTCCTGTGCCAGCTCATGCCCATGCCCACTACCCACACTGCCTATGGGGCCCTCTCCCTCTCCTCACACCTCCTCAGCCTGGGAGTCTGCCTCAGAAGCCCAGCAAGTCCATCCTGCCTCTCTGCCCCACACTGCTCGGGCGCTGAGGTAGCCTCGTCTCTCCCTGAATCTTGGTGGTAGCTTCCTACCCTCTTCACATTGGTGCACAGCTCTTCGGAGGGCATTATTCTTCAGGCAGCTCTGCTCTGAAACAATAGGTCTACACAAGG